AGGGTAAGCATAGCAGTCCCTAGGTTACTTAAATAATCGGATTACTAGTAGATTCGAAGAAAAAAAGCTTTCTTCTATTAGTTTCCGTAGATCCTAGTTATTCTCGCTTCTTCTCTCGTTAGTACGAAATCCCTACTTTTACCTAGGCTTAGGTATCTAGTTTAAGAAGTCGTCTCTTCTAGTATTAACCTTGCTAATCTACGGTTTATCTATAGCAGAGTAGTAATTATAAAGTTAACTAAATTAATAGCAACTATAAGGTTTACTACTAATTAGTATAGGTTTTACAAGGGGTGAAACGGAATTCCGTTCGTTAATAATAAATAATAGTAAATTGGTTCTAATCGATGGTTTATGATAGTTGAAAGTAGTGTTGTTGACTAGAAGGTAGGGATATTCCCCCTTGGCCTGTCACGTGGGTCTGGGAGGCTTGGGCCTCTCAGCCTGGCGGGCGTGTAGCTGGAAGTGCTACACGACTCCGTATTCCAACTATCGCAACAGTAGCTCTAGCATCGTTGAAGCTGACAGATCCCAAGCTCAATTCTGGATAACACGCCAAATTGCGCTTCAAGGGAATATGTCCTGTCAAAATATTATTTTAACGCCGCGCAATCTCTGGCAAGCATTTAGAACCTAGCTGGAGGGTTAGCTTTGTATGGAACCATGGATAGCCTGTAATTCGCACATGGTCATTTGTCATTGTGTCCAATCCTTTGTAGGTACGAGGGTCAAAGGTAACAGGATACCTGCTTAGGAAGAATCAATATGCCCGTTCTATTCAACGTTGTATCCAAGACAGCAATCAGTAACTGAGACTACTACATGCGAGGTGTGATTCTGCGGTGGTGAAGGCAGGAATACTCCTACGATATTAGGCCACTTGCATGTGACATCCACCAAATGGATTGATGACTAGATGGAGATATTGGGGCTCTATTGGAGACCGTGCGCTCTTACCTGAAAAGCTTGGGCATTGCATAATGTTGCATGTCACGTTCTTCATTAGAGTTGTTTGAAACGTTTTTCTAGAGTTATATTTTGTATCTGATCCCCGAAAATCGATCATCTCATCGTTGTGGTTGCCGATTGAATTGCCAAACGCGACCGAGCATTTGAGTTTTTGTTCCGCAGCACCCTTTGCCGGAAAAAAAAAAACATCTTGACTTTTGTCTATCACTTAAAGTTGTTTCAGTTCCATCTGTAAGGGTCATTTTAAACACAAGAAAAGACTGGTTTCAACAGCGGAATGTTACGACCCGTAAACAAGGATAACAGCCGAACGACCCACTTGGGCGTCGGGCGGCTAGGACAGGACATTTGTACTACATGATTGATTGATTGATTTATTCCTACTCGGTTATGAAGCCGCTCTTATGCCAGCAGCTATGCCCGGAAAGCGGGGTTTGGCAGGTAGCCGAAGCGTCGACAATGAACAGCGACGCCCCACTTCGCCCTGATGTTGCATCAGGGCCAGCTATCCCCAAGCTCCCCACTATGTTCTCTATTCTGTGTGTTTGTGCCCTCTGTTGAAGAAGTGTGTTGCTCTCCTGTCTGCTTTCTCGCTTTTGTGTTGCTCTCTAGAATGCTTGTTTTGCGTCCTCCTGCTTCGGTTCAGTTGGTGCTGGTAGCACCGTATCTGGTTCTTTGTACCTACAGTCTCCCCCCAGCGCTCAGCTTTGTCTCTTTGTTTTGTCCGTATCCTCCCGGACTTGTATGTGCCGTTTTCTCAGTTGCATCTGTAAATTCTTTGTTGCCTCCTGCCGGGTTCCTATGTGGCCTCTTGTTTCTTGCCTGTTGACCACTATTGCCCTCCACCACATTGGCCCAAGGGTCTTCCACGAAGCACAATGCTCCACTGACTCCGACATGTTCGATTACTGGGTATGAGAGCTCCCGCACAGATTCCGCAGACATTGTCGCGCGTTGAAGGGACACCAATCCTTCTTCGCAAAAGGGGCGACAGGGGACCAGTCTGTCTGTGGTCTGTAGTATTGTGTGGCATCGATCGTAGCATGCCTAATGCCTGGTGCTTTCTCCGTGCGGAAGGTGATACTGTTCTGTCGGACTCATCTTCGTCGTTGTGGGACGTTGCAAACTTTGTCGGGGGTGACAGGTGACCCAAAACCTGTCGGCGGCTGTTGTGTTGAAGTTGATTGTTTGGGCGCAGTCTTAGTGCTTCGTGTAGCGGCTTGTGGCTCGCCTGTGGTGGTGGTAACAGTGTTGTCTATTGATATGTCGTATTTTGCGGCTTGCTCTCAAGTTTTTCATTGTAGTCGGGGCGTGCTCTGCGGCCATCTTGGGCCCCTTTGGGACGTAGAATCAAGGCCGAGGATGGCATTGCATCGAAGGGGGCTCTGTGGCCGCGAGCACGCGTATTTGGGGCCGTTTTTGCTCCGATTTTCAAAAATTTCGTTCTCGCTGTTGTTGATGTTTTCCATTTGTACTACAGGATCACGGGAACAGCGGGAACTCACTCGGCACGGAAGAACTATGGTACAAGTCACGTGACGATAAGATAAGGAAACGATCAGTGGAGCACAGGACGGGACGCTCAGTGATCAGTTGGCATTGCCAACTGATCGCGATCACCTCATGCACCTAGGTAATCACCCCCAGGTAGACAAAGAACACTGTTCAGGACTTGTATATAGTATGACCTGAGCCTGGCTCAAGGTCAGACTTCCATAGCTCTTCAGCAATCAACTTTGTGATTACCCTAACCGGTACTTTCAGCTATACCTAAGTGACGACTACTCTACGACTCTTGTTGAGGCCTTGACTGATCACCAAGACCTTTGAAGATCTACGATTCAATCGACCAGACCCCAGAACGACTGTTACTGTTGTCAATCCCTGGCTTACTGTTAACACAAACCCACTGTCAGTTAGCTGGCCGTAACAAGATACATAAATTCTGTTGTTTCATGACTGCCATGACCGTCTAGGATCAATAGTCTCTGCTCAGAGGGATGATCAGGCTTAGTCAGAGGGATAAAGATGTTCTCAAGCCATTCCACAGCTGTAGAGTCTGAAGTCCAGCCATTCTCAGTTGCTGTGAACTTCCAACCACTGTAAATATCACGTTTATGGATATCAAGAGGAAACCATTGTTGTTGAACCGATTTCCCTCGATAAATAACAAGTGGAGGAAGCGCCTGACCAGTTGCAGAGACACACTCAAGCATAGTTGTCCAAGCCCGAGACCCAGGCTGTTTTTTTCGCATTGATGAGCTTTCTGATGATCCCAGTACTAAGCCATTTGATCCTCTGCCTTCTAGGATACCAGTTTCATCCATGTTATAGCGATGATGTGGTTTGATCGCCTTGATCTCTGGAAGGGCGAGTTGTTGAAACCATTGCCTGATTACATTAGTTGAGGCCCCATTGACACGCTTAGAATCGATGGCTCTAGCTCTATGAACCTTGATTGATGGATTTCTCTTAATAAAGAACTGAATCCAGTTTCTCCCAAGTGGCTGGGTAGTGCCTCTGATGTCTAGGATTCGCTGGGCAAATTCCTTGAGTTGTTGATGTGTTGGCGGCAGCCCTAACGCCGCCTGGATACGCACCCATTCAGCTAAGTGACTTTCCTGTGCTGGAGATAGCTTCTGGAAGCTAGAGAAAGCTACATTTCTTGCCTGTGAACCCTTTAATCGAGACTGGAGGGTTGATGGTGGAATTCCAGCATCATGAGCTGCCTTTCGGACACTCTGCCCACTTGCAACTGCATTGAGAGCTTGATTGACTTCTGTTTCCGTATACTGGCCCATTAAGCGTATAAGAGTAACTATTCAAAGAATTATAATAATCGCTGTAAAAGTGGTGAAGATATTAAAGAATGTTGAAGAGGGTAAAATTCTACATGAGCGATTTATGGGTGTGCGAAATGTGGGGGTGTGCGAGAAGTGGGTGTGCGACGTTATGTCCATGATGTAGCCAATCTACAGTCTGGTGTACATTTCGTGCAAAGCCCTCGACCATCTTCTTGTTCCTTGGATAATTCTATCAAGTCCTTGTGTTGGCGTGTCTCAGCTCGCCCTCGTCAAAAGACAGATGAGTTTGAGACAATGGCCACCCAAAGGCGGTCTAGATGTCTGACATGCCGGAATAGACACCCGACTTCGGTGAGTTTTTCACAAGACCACCGCCATCAGCAGTAACTAGATAGCGAGACGAAAATATTAATATTTTTAGACATTTGATCGTCATAATTCCGGGTATGCTGAAAAGTCTAGATCCTACGGGGACTTTTGACCCGTGAGTGAAACCTTGTCAAAATCATATGCGCTTGAGGGATATATGAAAACTTTGTGTGGCTGGAAGACAGGCGGGATGTCTAAAACATCCATCATACCATCACCTGACACCTCAACGGCGTCTGGTGACACTAAACTTCATTATCCCAATAAGCTGCCTCGCCTCCAGGTGGCATCTTAATGTAGTGACATTTGGCTGAGATGAGACATACATGAGAAGATAAACTGGACGAAAGTAGTGGGTAAGTACCTTATGAGTAGACGAAGACTCGGAAAAAAACAAAAAGAAAAACCCTTGCAGTTGATGTTGTGCTCATGAATGATCAGTCACCCTCGGCTCCATCTTCGCTCATGATGGCAGAATAGATCAGAGAGAGGCTGTTTGTGCCGAAGCAAAAAGATCAGACAGAATATAGCCTGTCCAGCTTAATATATGGAATCAAGTAAGTATACGCACACTCAAAATGGAGCTGGGAAAGAGGAAAAAAAAAAAAAGCCTAGCTAACACTGCTATTTAACAATACTTGGGTTTCCGTTAATATGAATGCTAGATCATTTATGACAGCCTTGCAAGGTAGCATATATAAGTCGCGCCTGACCGGCGAGGATTTCCAGTGTTAGTGTGAAATGCTGGCAAATTTACGTAGAATGCTTTTCGTTTGTTATGATCAAAATCTTACAAAATATTCTCGCTAACTCTAACTCATGCTATGATGCTTCAACCGTTAACATAAATCCATCTCCTCACAGCTTAGGTGTCAAGATGATGCCCAACTCCTTGGCAATGATGTCCGACGCTTTCTCGCCGACCACAAAAGCAGTATTGTTCGTATTGGCCCCGACATTCTCGGGGCAAATGCTCAAATCAACAAGCTTGAGCCCCTCCACACCATACACACTCAGTGACGAGTCAACGACACCCTTGTCGGCCCGCGGCGCCATCTTGGCCGTGCCGAGCGAGTGCCACGTCGTGTTGAGGTTCTCTCTCACGAATTGCTCGATAGCCTTGTTGTCTTCTGCGGAATACTCAAGGTCTGTAACACTCTTATGTGCGTCTACAGAGACGTTGTCGATGAGGCCAGCTTTGGAGCCGGCGGGAAAAGATGGGTGACCACCAGCCACCTCGCCGCGGTAAAGAGCCGTGCGACGAGCTACCTCTCGTGAGTGTTTGTAGGCCCAAACGTGCTTCTGCAGGTCAATGTCGTTTGCGTCTGAGAGGAAGCCTGCATTGAAGTCGAGGGGGTCAGTCACCGAGGGGCCTGTGATGTGGATGCTACCGCGGGAGTAGGGGTACGCGGTGTAGTTTGCGATGGTAGTATATTGCCCTTTAGGGATCGCGGAATGATCTCCCAGGAAACTGCAGATTGTTAGTTTTAGAAGAGAAGTTTCAATGTGACAAACGGTCGGAGAATACGTACCCGTGCAGGAAACCGCTGAGCATGAGTGGCCTGTTGGGACTATCCTTGAAGTCCTTGTCCCACGCTTTCCGGAACTCAGGACCGAGCTTATCGATCTCTTCCTCCGTAGGACGAATCTTACTGACGATATCTACACCATTCCAGCCGAGCATCTTGTGCTTCTGTGCAATAGCATCTTCGTGGCTCGTGCGTCCGCTGAAGAGTTCGTCAAGCGTCTCGTCAGGCTTCAGCGCTGCCTTGTAAGGATACAAAATTAGATGATGGTCCTGATAGTCATGTCCTACACCGGGAAGGTCGGAAACAACGGGAATGCCGGCTTTTTCCAGCACCTTCCTGTTGCCGACTCCGGATCGCTCAAGAACAGGGGGCGTGCCGCATGCACCGCAGGAAACGACAACCAGTTTCCTTGCCTTCACACTTCGGATAGGATGCCGTGTCGTGTTCAGCACAGCCTGGTAATCAGGGTTCGGCGTATACTCCACGCCCACAGCGCGCTTGTTATCATCGAATAACACTCTCACAACCTTTGACTCCACAAGCACGTGGAGGTTGGGGTGTTTGCCGTCCTCAAGTAGCGGATGCAGGAAAGTGTGGGCGGAATCCTGTCTTTTACCATCGGGTGAGACGTAGCGCATCCAGCGCTCGTAACCGTTGTTTGCTTCCAGGTTCTGCAGATCACGAATTTCAGGATATCCCTTCTGCTTCGCCGCGGCAAGGATATCGTCTTCGGCTCCTGGCACGCGGAAGCCGCCCGAGGAAATGTGCACAGGGCCCGAAGTGCCGTGATCAGCCTTGTCGCCATTGCCGTGGTACGTCTCAAAGCGGTTAAGATGCGGCCGGAGATCTTGGGATGACCAGCCCGGAGTCTTCCAGGAATCGAAATCGGATTTTTGGGCACGGGTGTAACTGTTGTGGTGGAAACCATGACTCATTAGTTTGAGGTCTTGAACGGGGTTGGAGAGTCAGAAGAGTGACATCCCGGGCTCACGGGGTCATGGATCGTCATCTCCACATCTATCGGCGAATGAAACGATTGGCGAACGGGTTGGGTAAGGCATGCGTTGGAAAGGAGGGGGAGCGGAGATGCGGAATTTGAGTTTGAGAGAGGCAGAAACACGTACAGCATGAAGTTGATAGAGGAACCACCACCCAGGATACCCCCAGCCGGCACAATAGGGCTGCGGCCTGCCAGCTTGTCGGATTTGTTGGCCTGGTAAAAGATTGCGGTTTTACTTTCGGGAGCAAGGTGATCTAGGAAAAACGCTGGATGAACGACGTTGGGGACATTGCGATTGTTTGTTCCGCCTTCGATAACGAGGATTGAGAGTTCTGGTGCGGCGGCTGCTAGTCGGCCAGCAAGAACACAACCTGCTGTTCCTCCTGTTCATCATTAGCAAGGGTCTCTCAGCGATAGACGGAATGATTCAACAAACCTCCTGCGATGATTACATCCACCTCCTCAATGTGGTCGGCCAGCTTGCTATAAAGACCCATGTTTGCAGCACCACAGGCGGAAATACAAAGATTCAGAGTAAAAAAACAGGATGATGGGTGGCTAAAATAGGTCGAGGCAAAAAGCCGATGGCTGAATAAAACAGCTTGCGGATCCAGGTTTTTTATATGCAGCTACTCCGCAGGGCAAGCTGCATTGAGACACCAACGCAGAGACAATATTGTTCCACCGTGCTTCCGTACTCGCTGATCTTCGATTCCGATACCCCTTATTCAGATCACATGGCCGCACAGATGGCGGCGCCGTACCGGTCGTTCAGGCGGACAAGTGGGTAGCGCCCGAACCGTGCATCGGGTGCGGGGAAGGTTGCCCTGCTGTGATCCATGGATGGATGTAGTCTTGTGTCCTGTTGCATCGCGAAGACAGCCAAGCTAGAACCTCACAGGAAGTGTCTTAGATCCCCTAGCTTTCCATCTAAATAGCCAATGAGGTTGTTGGGACCTTTGCTTAAGCGTACTCGTATTTCAAGGGGTCGAAATGTAGCTTCGGCTTCACCGGTCTTTTTGGGACACTCCTGGGCTCTAGGTCCATTCAGCCAGCTACTGCAGACCGTTGTTAGGACGCATCGGAAGTGAACCCTGAATTGGAGAATCCAGTTGAGAGGAGAAAGCTGCATTATTTCTGACTCGGCCAGGTCATAGCTTGAGGGGGGTTCGCTGCGTCAAGCTGCAGTAGGCTGTGTGTGGTTAGGAGGGGCGAAGGTGCCTGGATGCGGGGAAAGAGGAGACAAGGGGACAAGGGGGTTCATCCATCCCGAGACCTTTGCCGATATCTTAGCGAATAAGCGTTGAGGTAGTGATCAACGTCTTTCCTGTTGAGGGTGGTGCCAGAGATCACGGTTGCGGGGTGAACAAGGTTGCTTCCAAGGAGGTTGCTGACTGATGGCGCGCAGTTTCTCAATTTCTTCATTGGAGACCTCCGTGACAGTTGCTGTGTTGCTTTGTCATGCACATGCTGGGTTTTAGTAAGGAACTGGGCAGATTCCACTTAGCTTTCGATTTAACGTGAGCCAGCAGACGAGAACCCATTTGCTGTTGTGGTTCTCTGAGTTGAGATCTTCTCTAGTCGCTGATGTGGACAGTATGGATTACGCAAAGGAGTCATCATCAACTCATGGTTAGAGGGGGCGTCGCAATAATTGACACGGATTATGACTCGTTAGATCCAAAATTTCCGTTTGGATTGACTTTAGTGTTGTCCGGGGACGACGACAGCTCAGTCCAGATGGAGGCCGCGCCAAACACCATTGAGTTCTTCGTAGGACTGTATCCACTCTTCTGATCATGAAGCTGAAGATGAGTCGTGTCACAGGCAAACGGCACCTTTCGACCGGGTAGATCGTCATTTAGACTATGCCAGGACTATTTCTCAACGCGTACTTCTACAACACAGAAAGAGGCAGACTCATTTAACGCCCTCAAGGCCTAGATTGATTGCATCTATTAGTCCTCCTACCTTGATGTCGACGAGCCTAGGCAGCTGATGGCGGCTGATCGCCACAGTGTAGCTGTCAAACCTCAAGTTGTAGCAGATTATTCGGATTCTTTCAACAACAACTGATGCCATCCACTCATCATGACCATCAAAACTATGGATGTGTTTATTAGAGGTATCTCAACGCCTGTTTAAATTTTTGTTCCCTACCTATTCCCGAGACGTATAATGGGTTGCAGCATAGACTCATAAGATCGCAGAGCGTAACGAGGCGCGAAAATTTCCTGCAGGTTCTTTTGCATATCCATGGTATTATAGATTATCAAGTTTGAATCGCATACTTAATACAGCGAGGCTTATTACTGAAGCCGTTTAGAGCAATAGATACGCATCTTGGTCTATTTCTATATACCACCAAAGCATACGCGCTTGTAGATGCATCCGATAGATGTGGTGACCTTATCCTTTACCAAGATCTTGCCCTTTCTACTCCCTCGGCGGTACTCTGAGAAGGTTTAAAAACTGTAGATGATGATTAAGCATGGGCCCAAATTTGCATCGTTGGCATTTAGCGCTCTGCAGATAAACTCAGACCTAATCTGTTTTTGCATGATGGCATTATCACATATAAAATCATGAAATTTTGAGTTATCCCGACCTCCACTACTCTCAAGACGTTTGATGCCACTGTCTCGAAGATTGAGATAGATTGAGTGGATTTGCATAGAATCGCCAGTGGCGCTCAGTTTTAGTGTTGAACTGCCCTTCGGCTGGCGGATAGATAACGTCGCACACCCACTTCTCGCACACCCCCACATTTCGCACACCCATAAATTGGGTCATCATGAGGTATTCATCAACTTCATAACTATAAGTCTGATTCGTCTCCTGCAACTGTGATACTATCGCCAGTTTTAATAGGTAATTCAGGCTCGCTAGATTCATCTGAGCTATCCTCAATTTCGCCAGCCTCAATTTGGGCTTTGTGAATTGCCTCAATGTTGGCAAACTTCGAATTTGGGCTCATTTGGACCTTACGCCGCTTCCGTACCATTCCAGCCTCAACTTCTGCTTCCAACATTGCAATCTTCTTCTCTGCTGTAGCCAATTGATAGTCCTTTTCATCAAATCCCTTTTGAACCTTCCGAAACAACAGTCGCTGCGTTTGCTGATCTTTATCCAACTTGCTGAATAAGCTAAGTTGATCATATAGATCAACTGTCTTCTTGGGCGTTGACCAGGCTACTATGGATGTAGCAGATGCCCAGTTTTCGTCTTTTCCACCATCAGAGGCCCTCATAGGCGTAGAATAGCCTGGCTTTGAGGGCTTGGAAGCATTCTCAAGCAGTAGAGGGCTCATGAGCGGTCGAGCTATCGAAATGGGCCATAGTCCTGTTGCTTTCCAGCCGCTTCTGATATTCTTGCTTGAAAATGCCATCTGGCGTGCTTTTCCATAGCAGGTAAGAAAGTTCCGTTTGCCTACAACTGTAGAATCGTTGTGTTGAATGAGGTATCCAAGCTCTTTTCGATAGGTCGCCTTGAGAGGCCCAAAGACTGCTTGGTCTAGAGGTTGGAGAACGTGGGATGTATGTGGCGGTAGGAAAAGGAGATATATCTTGTGTTTATAACAGAGATACATAAATTCTGTTGTTTCATGACTGCCATGACCGTCTAGGATCAATAGTCTCTGCTCAGAGGGATGATCAGGCTTAGTCAGAGGGATAAAGATGTTCTCAAGCCATTCCACAGCTGTAGAGTCTGAAGTCCAGCCATTCTCAGTTGCTGTGAACTTCCAACCACTGTAAATATCACGTTTATGGATATCAAGAGGAAACCATTGTTGTTGAACCGATTTCCCTCGATAAATAACAAGTGGAGGAAGCGCCTGACCAGTTGCAGAGACACACTCAAGCATAGTTGTCCAAGCCCGAGACCCAGGCTGTTTTTTTCGCATTGATGAGCTTTCTGATGATCCCAGTACTAAGCCATTTGATCCTCTGCCTTCTAGGATACCAGTTTCATCCATGTTATAGCGATGATGTGGTTTGATCGCCTTGATCTCTGGAAGGGCGAGTTGTTGAAACCATTGCCTGATTACATTAGTTGAGGCCCCATTGACACGCTTAGAATCGATGGCTCTAGCTCTATGAACCTTGATTGATGGATTTCTCTTAATAAAGAACTGAATCCAGTTTCTCCCAAGTGGCTGGGTAGTGCCTCTGATGTCTAGGATTCGCTGGGCAAATTCCTTGAGTTGTTGATGTGTTGGCGGCAGCCCTAACGCCGCCTGGATACGCACCCATTCAGCTAAGTGACTTTCCTGTGCTGGAGATAGCTTCTGGAAGCTAGAGAAAGCTACATTTCTTGCCTGTGAACCCTTTAATCGAGACTGGAGGGTTGATGGTGGAATTCCAGCATCATGAGCTGCCTTTCGGACACTCTGCCCACTTGCAACTGCATTGAGAGCTTGATTGACTTCTGTTTCCGTATACTGGCCCATTAAGCGTATAAGAGTAACTATTCAAAGAATTATAATAATCGCTGTAAAAGTGGTGAAGATATTAAAGAATGTTGAAGAGGGTAAAATTCTACATGAGCGATTTATGGGTGTGCGAAATGTGGGGGTGTGCGAGAAGTGGGTGTGCGACGTTAAGTAGCCTTACGCATCGGAGGTCTCATACCATGAGAACGCCTGCCTCAACAAGCGCCACCTCAACAAGCGTCACCTCAACGGATCTCTGGAGAACTGCGATCCGGTAGAACAACATAAGATTACTTTTCTAATTCTATACAAGACATTCTGAAGTTTCTGCAAGCCTGTTTAATCGTAGTGTAGTTCAAAAGGATGAAGTAAAGACTGATAATCATTTCAGTGCTGGTATGAAACCAGTTCTCAAAAACTTGTTTGCATTAGAGTTCAAAATCTTCCAGTACTGACACATTTATCTTGACGTTGGATGAGCCATTGATTTCTCATTCTGGAGATGCGGACAAGACTGACATGAACGCCTTATACCATGTGAACGGCTTCAGCTTTTTCTGATAAAATTCATCATTCAACAGATGATGTAGCTGCCAAATTTCGCAAACTTTCACTGTTCTAGAATGATACACCTTTATTTGGGTGCTATGACACGCGCATCTAGAAGTGAATATTGAGCGATCTGACAATGCCGAAGATGCTGATTTTCGTCTACTTCATACGATTGTAATTTCTTTTGTATACATTCACGATCGTTTGCTGGCGAAGCAGACTATCGAAAAGGAGTGCATTCTTTTGTGTTTTTCTTCAGTTCCTTGTACACATATTCCTATCTTTTGGTCAATGGATAGTCAGTAATGGAACCATCGCCGTAAGTCTCGCAACTGGTCGGCTCCAGCTTTGCCATAAAGCTACCGTAGAATACCCTTTCAAATTTCAGCACAGGAATGTTTCAGCCGTAGATGGTGAATCGCTGTTGTATGATAGCCGAGTGACGCTATTCTGGCAAATCCATTTTTGGGCTTGAGCCTTTGGGCTCCTTTGATAATGGAGTGAAGTGACAAGGAGATGTGACAAAACATATATGAGACAGGGGCACGTAAATCATTGCAAACTAGTAATGGCAGTCATACACAAAAAAGCTCACCTCACATGATTGTTCATCTCATGGGTTACTATGTGAAGCATAGTGAGGTTAATTAGTTGTCAAGATTATACTTTGAGGTTCTGGAGCCAACAACCAATACTACCAAAAGCTAACTTTTGACTGTCTAGTTTTGTTGATATCTTTCGTAACCATACGAGAATGCGAGTGGTATTATAGGGCTACGTGTGTAAGGAGCTTCAAATTCCTATGATGGACTAGGAGGGCAGATATGATTATAATTGAACGATTTTATATTCTATACGTATTTATGAGTTCTTTACGTCGTTCAGATGTGTTAGCATTCAGAAACTCGATGCTGGGAGTTTCATTAATCTGCATTCCCCCAAGCCATCTTGTTCTTGGTTGCAGCCACCTCCTCTCTTCAAACCTTGCCGTTCATCAGGCACAGCGATGTTGTTGTTGGAGGTTTTTCTCAGAAGAAACAATCTTTGTGAATAATTATTGCTGCAAATGGCCTGCTGGAAGCTATAAGATGTAAACCAGACCAAAACTCAAATGTTTGTTGGTGAAAGTTTTGCACCGATAATAGTGAGAACCATGTCTGTCCAGACAACTCAGTCTTGGCGAAAGCTGTCAGCTTTGAAATACTAATGTATATTTCCCTCTCATTCGACATGTTAAAATCATGTCACAGTTGCACGAAGAGCCCAACGCCAGTTATGCGCCGAGTTTCATCTCACATCGACCCGACGGTGAGAAAAAAACTGGCAGTGGTTTCAGTGACTCCAAAAACCCGTCTCATATTTTATACTAGTACAAGTCAACGCTTTATTTACGTTTTAGTGCATGTGCGATACCGTGCGGACGTTCCTCTCTCCCGTCTGGATAATACCAGGGGGGCATCACTCTCGGCACTTACATGCTACCAATCCAGGCTGACAATTAAATTTTGGTGAGACCAATGAGACGGTCAATCCTAAACAAGACGCGAGCAAATTGCCGTGTTAGGAGGATCATGAAATCATGCCTCCGGAACTCCTGCCAGCATCGTTCGATCTTCCGATGGTCCTCGTTGATCGTATTACGGGGGCTGGTGGTCTAAGCTTCATCGTGTTGGGCAAACAAATATCGAATGACACGCGAGCGGATCAAGATGCGATTGGTACACCAGAGCGGTGGATTCGCTAAACTCCCATTACGTGCCGGAGCATCTAGGGGCCATAGCACCCCATGCTATATCAATGTTTGGAGCGGCAGACCCAATGCAACACTAGTTTGGCGCAAGGATTATACTGAAGATCGCCCTTCTCCTCGGCTTCGGCCATAATCAGGACTTATATGCTGTGATGTCAGACGCTTGGCAATCGGCACCAGCACCTTTTTATGGCTTCTCGGCAGCAGGATGGGCAAGATTAAGACAGAGAAAGCAATGACGTGCAGAGTTAGTTACGAGAATTTCTCCATTGGTGTCAAGGAAAGTTTGCCCCTTCGCGGGGAGAGTTCTGTCATGACAATGCCGTGCGGGGTGTCTATTATGGGTATGCTAGCCATTGGAAGCATTATTCATCTTTTGAGATAACGGGTTGGCGAAATGTGTTGCTACATGGACAGACCAGGATTGATGATACTTGCTTGGTCAGAGCTTCGGCCGCGGCATCACAAGACAAAAATGCTGATGCCAACTGACCAACTGACTCCTTCTACATTGCGTCTCTATAGGTTCTTTAGCTTACATCTTGCGATATAGCACTGCGTGTTCATGAAAATGACTTTCAATCTAGCAACCATTCACAATAGTCTTAGCAGGCTGTGGAGATGAAACGAAGATACCCTAAGATGAAGAGCAGAACGATATAGTTCAATCATGTTGTCCCAATTCTTCAACGGCGATAACGCATTTACTGAGCCATAACACATGTTAGTGAAAGGGTACTTTGGATGAGGGCTAGCTGGTGTATGTTATTCCCATGCCAATATTACATGCCATTAAAGCCAATATTTCGAGAGTCGAGTCTCGATATCGTCCACGGCACTGAAGATCTATGAAACTAGGCCGCAAGGCCGATCTTGGCAACCCGTGCAGGATCGCCCCCCAACGAAAGTTTTAAATCTGACAACGTTTGCTGGTAGCGACATGGCGCATGGACAGATGTGACAGCAGCAAGATCATTCGATACGTCAAATAAAGGTTCACGCTAGCATATCTGGGCTGACAGCCAGAATGTTAATGAAAGATCCAACAATGATGATTTGCTACAGGCTAACTAAGCTGCAAGGAGTATCCCGTTCTGTATTGTACTGTATTCTTAATCCTCCTCTGCCGCGTCCTCTGTGAAATCGACCACGTTCGCCTTCGCCGCGCCAGCCCCTGTAACTCCACTTGTGTAAGACCGCCGAGGAGAGCGCCGGGAGTAGCGGTCGCAATCGTCAATACTCCATTATGTATATGGTTTCTTCGAGAAGACGAGCGGAAATGGACGGGGGAGAACGAGGGACGGCGCACGACGGAAGGGGTGCTTTAAGCAGCAGCACCACCGGCACCGCCGGCGCCGCCGGCGCCGTAGGCCTGGATGCCCTTATCGAGAGCGGCAGTGATCTGATCAACGGATTGCTGAGCGATACCCTGGCCGATGGCGGGAACCTTAGAAACGATGGCAGTACCCAGACCAGCGGAAGCCTGCTTCTGGGCGGTGAGCTGCTGGGCAACAACCTGAGAGACACCGAGCTGGTCAAATGTGGGCTTCTTGGCGATAATGTCATCGACGGTAGTCGTAGCGGCAGTCGTCAAGTCAGTGGCGAGCTGCTGAAGGCCAAGTGCCTCCTGAAGCTGCAGAGCCTGGGCGCCCTCAATATCGCTCTGCGCCTTGGTGATGGCAGTCTGAACATCGGTTGCGGCGGTCTGGACGGCGGCGACAGTGTTGGCATCGTTGGCGGCCTGTGTAATTCATTCTGTTAGTATAGTTGCTCAAGGATTATAAGTGAGTGTGGCGGTTGAGCCGAAAGGCTTCTAGCATCCAAAGGAAAATGGATGTACAATTTTGGGATGCGCATACCTTCACAGCGGTATCGAGCTTTGTCAGAGAGGTCTGAACGGAGGTAATGGCGCCTTGGATGGTAGCCAGTTGACGCTTCTCGCCTTGGGTAGGGAGGGCGAAGGCAGTGCCGACGAGAGAGAAGAGAAGGGTCTTGGTGAGCTGCATTTTGATGATTCACTTTCCAGAGTGATTTTGCTGATTAGATGAAAGGGATTTATTAGAAGCGTAAAAGAAATCTCCAACCTGGGAGTGTAAGTGTGAGAGTGTTGAGAGTAGGTATCTGTGCTGAGAAAGTATGTTTGATGATGAGGTATTCAATCCCCGAGAAACGGCGGGAACTACCAGCATATTATACAAATTGGACGGATTGGTGTTGACCTCATTGCTCATGAGCATGCTCATCCCGTTGGTTCACCTCGGCAGCAAACCACCCTCCCTTCTCGATGCGATAGGGGTCTGTCTGGTCCTGGACCAACCGGGTTGAGCACAGCCACCTGGAAGTCTGAGACGAAGGAAACAAAAGAATGTGGATATTATTATCGCATCAAACCAGCAACCAGCGAAGTGAGCGACATACGCGCAGTCTTCGGATGTCTCAAGTGGTTCGAGAGCTCACCCTTGTTTGGAGAGGGAGGGGATGGCACGGAATATTGCCACGTTAGACCCAGGTCACCAAGTTAGTTGAGTGCTTGGCTTAGTCGTTGAGTTGAGAGCAGCACTGCAGAGCCACAGCTTCCACGGCATCCCAACGGCACGTTTGACGAATTGGGAATTGCGCCATGTCAAAGATCGGTAGAGGCCGCGTGTGAATTTGCGTTGTGCCGTTCGATGTGGGGTACCTGCAGATAGTCAGACGTGCGCGCTTCGAGCGTTGAAGTTCACATGAAACGAAACTCAGCCATGTCGTCTCAGAAGCTCGTGTGCGATTACATTCTACCAATCTGCAAGGGATTCCATGTCTGAGCACCAATGCTTATTACGAACGTTTTGAGACGTTATTGGGAGAATTTTTTCGTCAGCCAAGGAGTCCTCCGCCAATACTAGTGGCAACGTGAAATGTACAGGGTTGAGGCTCTCATGGGGTTGCCAGTTTCGGGCCTCCACACGACGCCGAGTCAGAGCCAAGAGGCCTCAAGCGCGACGACATCTGTCATTCGCCGACAGTTTCCATGGATCTGTCGCTGATATCGACACCTGCCACGCCAAGTGACCAGAGGCTGGCCCTCTGCCCCGGTTACCCGTACACACCGGTGGAGGCGATACGTATGGGTTGCCTTAAGAGGAAATGAGGGGAGAAAACCTTCTTTAGGAGGGTGGGATCGGCTAGCCGGGAATGGCCTCAAAACTGGTTCAAACGGGATGACCATCTGGATCGCCGCATGGATTACGCAAAGGTCAAGCTAGCTCACTGCAGCTAGCGGCCCATATTCGAGTGTTGCCTGCTCCACATAAGGTCCTATAGTATACAGCTTCACCCTCTGAAGCCTACTACGACGTACTTGTAGGTGGCCGTATGGCAGCACAGGGAATAAACATCCGATCCCCACAGGGTGTCGTTGAGGCCCTACTTTTCTCGGCCTTGGCTAGTTTCTTGTCTTGGGAATACGCGGCCCTCCTATTTACAGCTTAAGGGGAGAGTAAACAATAGCGCCTCTGTATGTCATGGCCCCGTTTAGCGTGTCATAGCCATAGCCGACCTGATCAAACGGCACGGATGATCGGCTGGCAGCCAAATCTGGCAACGCAGGGCCCCTCCGTTCATCACCCAAACATCGAAAGGGGAATAGTAGGGCCTGGAATACCGGATCCTTAAGGAAGCGGCTGCCAAGAATGAGACAGATTGGCTCATTCGGTTCCTGTCACCCAGACGCTTTCAGATAGACACCCACGTAACTTGGACCATGTTTCTTGGGTTCTCCGAGTTTCCCTTTTGAGGAATTCATGAGTCAATAAAGAAGGGAATTTGAGAAGAGGGAGGTTTTGCAATTGGTCAAACGCGGTTTGGCGTTGAGTTGCACAGTCGCTGGGCTATGGCCATCCCGTTCCCCTGGCGGTTGTGAAAGAACGTGGAATTGTTCGAGAAGCAACCTGTCTGACACCTATCCGCGAGTGCCGTTCTCAAATGCTTTCACCCTTCTGGAAGCCAAGGGAAAAATACCGATGCGGGCGTGATTATTCGCTAGATCGGGACAGCGGCAAAACAAAGCTGGGACGAGACTGAGTAAGTAGGCTCGAGTCCGCGGAATGCGATTCGCGCATCAGCGGAATGGATCCCTGGTGGCTGAGGGCGCTTAATCGACCCGAGACCATCAGTGGGTCTACCAGATTTCCTTGTTCGGCTCGTTCGGTACTCGGTCGATTCAAATTGTTTATCAAATCTCGCCCTGGCTGGCATCACAACTTCCCTATCAATACACCGAAAGGATTCGGCCCCGCTGCGGCGGTGATACGGGCGGGTTTATCGGGAAAAATGGGTCTGCCGTCCACTTTATTGGACTTTGGATATGCAGCCCCGGAGCCACGGGATTTTGGTTCGGTGAATTCTCTGCCGTCGGAGTAAAGCATTTGTACAGATCTACTGCGTTGAAGAAGAACTTGAATACATAAACTCGAGGCATGAGCTCAGGGCATGATTAAATTCTCATTCTTTTTTCAGAATGGGATGCCTCTTCACAGTTATTTCCATCCTTATTAGAAAAGGCTCAAGATTACATTGACTCAAAATCGAATACTTCGTTTGAAAATGACGACCCGCTCTGAATCATTCGAGAACTTGGCTTTCCAGCTCTCTGAGATTGCCAAATCATCTTCCAGCGAAGCGGAAATGAATACTGCCGCAGCCGTCATTGCAAGAGATATACTCAAAGTCGTGAGAGGTACTGTTCCCGATTGGTCGGAGAGGATGTTTAGTGCTGTGGAGGTAACTGCTCTGAGACTTTTCCTTGATTGGGGTGCATTTGAAGCCATTCCCGACCATGGTACTATTTCCTTCACCATGCTCGCGAAGCAACTGAACGCAGACGAGTCACTCGTTCGTAAGTTGATCATTTTTCAAAAACAGGTGGCGCTCAGCTGAACTTTTTATCCTTTTTAGGACGCACCGGCTGGGTTCTTGTTGCTGGCGGCGTCTTGCGCCAACATGGCAAAGATCAAGTGGCTCATACCACATTGTCTCGGCAATATCTCCCCGGAAGCCCTGACGGGCTACTACTCGAAATGATGTAAATAACAGTTCCCCTTTATTGCCCTTGTGTTGTCTGACTTAGGTATTCACTTTAAGATTCGACGAGCATATGCTTCCGGCCCTTAAGCTACCAGAGTATTTCTTACAATACGGCCGCCATGAGCCAGTCAGCCGAACACACACTCCTCATTCTTTCGCTCTTGGTCAGCCCGATAAAGAGATCTGGGAGATTCAGAAGGGAAGCCCTCATAGAGTGAAGCGGATGATGAAAGCAATGGAGTTGACCGAGTCATTCATCCCAATGGTGGGTATTTACGATTTCAGCTGGGTCAAGACAAAACTCTCTGAGAATCAAGACCGAATCATTCTTGTGGACGTCGGTGGCGGTAAAGGACATGTGGTCAAGGCGATTCTCAACGAAAATTCCTTTATACCGCCAGAGCGCATCATCCTAGAGGACCGCGATGAGGTTATTGACGAGGTGATGCGGTTGAAGGAGCCCGAACTTAGCAAGGTCCAGCTTCGGGTACATGATTTTCACCAGCCGCAGCCAGTGAAAGGTAAGCGATTGTCCTTGAAGTATGCTGCGATTCCAGAGCTGATGAGTCAGGCGCAATGATATATTCAATTCGTCGCTGTCTTCATGATTATGGCGACGAAGTTTGCGTCAAAATGTTAGCACAGATTTCAGAGGCGATGGCTTCAGACAGCAAACTCCTCATTGGCGAGTACGTGCTTCCGAATCCGCCATCTGCCTTGGGCGCCATGAGTGATTTCGCCATGATGGGGATTGGTGGTAAAGAACGGACAGCCGATGACTGGGAGGCTTTGGTAGCCCATGCTGGATTGAAAATTGAGAAGGTGCATGGACTGGATAAGAAAATTCAGGTCATCGAATGTACCAAGACTGAAGTTGGCATTTGACACGCTATAGATTTCAGATCACTTGGTGCGTACGCGGCATAGCATCTTACTTTGGCAGAGCTTGGCTAGGAGGCTTTTCATTTGCTTCTCGATATGTGTTTCTTGTTAAACTCTCAAATATTAGAAAACAACTTCATCACTGGTCATTCACACAGTGGTTCACTCGCTGACGGCTAACGCCGTTTGCTAAGCTTTCGTCTAGACACCTCCATTTGTATTTGAGTAGTGCATGCCAGCTTTCTTTCTCTGGTGTGGTTACAACGGAGCAGTTCCGTGTTACGGCCAGCTAACTGACAGTAGGTTTGTGTTAACAGTAAGCCAGGGATTGACAACAGTAACAGTCGTTCTGGGGTCTGGTCGATTGAATCGTAGATCTTCAAAGGTCTTGGTGATCAGTCAAGGCCTCAACAAGAGTCGTAGAGTAGTCGTCACTTAGGTATAGCTGAAAGTACCGGTTAGGGTAATCACAAAGTTGATTGCTGAAGAGCTATGGAAGTCTGACCTTGAGCCAGGCTCAGGTCATACTATATACAAGTCCTGAACAGTGTTCTTTGTCTACCTGGGGGTGATTACCTAGGTGCATGAGGTGATCGCGATCAGTTGGCAATGCCAACTGATCACTGAGCGTCCCGTCCTGTGCTCCACTGATCGTTTCCTTATCTTATCGTTACGTGACTTGTACTATAGTTCTTCCGTGCCGAGTGAGTTCCCGCTGTTCCCGTGATCCTGTAGTACAAATGTGTGTGTAAAAACATTAATAACAGCGAGAACGAAATTTTTGAAAATCGGAGCAAAAACGGCCCCAAATACGCGTGCTCGCGGCCACAGAGCCCCCTTCGATGCAATGCCATCCTCGGCCTTGATTCTACGTCCCAAAGGGGCCCAAGATGGCCGCAGAGCACGCCCCGACTACAATGAAAAACTTGAGAGCAAGCCGCAAAATACGACATATCAATAGACAACACTATTACCACCACCACAGGCGAGCCACAAGCCGCTACACGAAGCACTAAGACTGCGCCCAAACAATCAACTTCAACACAACAGCCGCCGACAGGTTTTGGGTCACCTGTCACCCCCGACAAAGTTTGCAACGTCCCACAACGACGAAGATGAGTCCGACAGAACAGTATCACCTTCCGCACGGAGAAAGCACCAGGCATTAGGCATGCTACGATCGATGCTACATAATACTACAGACCATAGACAGACTGGTCCCCTGTCGCCCCTTTTGCGAAGAAGGATTGGTGTCCCTTCAACGCGCGACAATGTCTGCGGAATCTGTGCGGGAGCTCTCATACCCAGTAATCGAACATGTCGGAGTCAGTGGAGCATTGTGCTTCGTGGAAGACCCTTGGGCTAATGTGGTGGAGGGTAATAGTGGTCAACAGGCAAGAAACAAGAGGCCACATAGGAACCCGGCAGGAGGCAACAAAGAATTTACAGATGCAACTGAGAAAACGGCATATACAAGTCCGGGAGGATACGGACAAAACAAAGAGACAAAGCTGAGCGCTGGGGGGAGACTGTAGGTACAAAGAACCAGATACGGTGCTACCAGCACCAACTGAACCGAAGCAGGAGGACGCAAAACAAGCATTCTAGAGAGCAACACAAAAGCGAGAAAGCAGACAGGAGAGCAACACACTTCTTCAACAGAGGGCACAAACACACAGAATAGAGAACATAGTGGGGAGCTTGGGGATAGCTGGCCCTGATGCAACATCAGGGCGAAGTGGGGCGTCGCTGTTCATTGTCGACGCTTCGGCTACCTGCCAAACCCCGCTTTCCGGGCATAGCTGCTAGCATAAGAGCGGCTTCATAACCGAGTAGGAATAAATCAATCAATCATGTAGTACAAATGTCCTGTCCTAGCCGCCCGACGCCCAAGTGGGTCGTTCGGCTGTTATCCTTGTTTACGGGTCGTAACATCAGGTCCCCTCTCCAAAGGTCTTGTCCTCAAGACCCAACATAAGTAGGTCGTTGGTCCCAGGTTGGGGATCCATCAATCGTGCTTCCTGATCTACTCATGATGCTGACACCATGTCAGGTCGCGTTCAAAAATCGAAATCGAGTTCTGCCTCTACTCTTCGTCGTCGTAATCGCGCATTGCGTATTGCTGAGTTTGGCCTTGTCGTCGACATGCCTTGTTCTTACTGTCGTTCCGCGGGGAAGCGTTGCAAGCTTCTTCCAGGTGGTGAGGTTTGCGGCGAGTGTACTCGCTTAGGGTAGTCTTGTGATGCGGCGGCGGACGCTGTTTATGCTCGTATGTTTCTACGCTCCCTGCGTTTCGTACGTGCTGCTAACTTGTCGTAGTTGATCGTTTACTGGATGAAGCGGCTCGTTTGGAGGACGCAGAGGTAGCTGAGGAGGAGGTGTTGCGAAAGAAAGCCGCTGCTTTGCGTGCCGCGCAGGCCGAGTTGGACGAGTCCATGGCGCGGTTGGATCGTTTGCGTAAGCAGAAAAGAATGGTTTTCCGAAAGGGTCGAGAAGTTACAGAGGAGGAGCCGGTGGCGTTCACAGCGGATTGGGATACCCTGTACCCGGATGTCGCTTTGTCGCCATCCTTGTTGGCTGAGTTTGGTTTGTTGGATTCAGGGTCGGTTGTTAAGAGGCGGAGTACTCCTGAAGCGTCTCCTGGGGGTGTTGGAGGCCCTTAGTGGGTTCCTTTAGGTGGCTCTGGGGTTCCTAAACGAATGAGAGGGTGTTTATCCCGTGGCTTGTTTGATCGTGGTGGACGGATGATGGGTTGTGGTTGTCGTTCTCGGTGTTGTTGCTAATAGACGGAGAGTTCGTCAGTTGCGTTGGTGAGGTTCTTCGCAGGTTCCCAAGTATTATCTTCATGTCCGTATCCTTTCCATTTGACGAGGTATTGATATCCTTCGGGTTCTTTAAGGTAGTCGATGATACGTTCGACTTCGTACTCTGGCTCGTTGTTTTCCACAATAATGACGTCGCTTGTTCGTGATCCTTGTAGGGCTGGTTCGAGTAGTGAAATGTGAAAGACTGGATGATACTTCATGCTGTCGGGTAGTGCGAGTTTAAAGTTGACGTTAGATACCTTCTTCGTAATTTCAAAGGGTCCAAGTTTCTTAAAGTCTAACTTATCGCTTGGTCGTTTTGTTTTGATGTTGCGGCGGAGAAGGTATACACTATCCCCCTCCTTTAGAGTTGGTCCCTCAACTCTTGATTTGTTGGCGTATTTGCGCATGCGTTCGCGTATAAATTCGAGGTCTCTGGGGAGTTCCTGCTGGATCTCCTTAAGTCTGTTGATGTCTGCCACAGCTTTCAGAGCTGCTGGGCCTTGTCGAGGTTGTCCGTAGGCTGTTGGGTTGAATCCATAGTTTAGATAGAATGGTGATTCTTTTGTACTTTCTCCTACTGCGCTGTTGTAGGCGAACTGGGCTATAGGTAGCAGTTGAACCCAGTTGTCTTGCTGATAGTTGACGTAGCAGCGTAGGTAGGTTTCCATGATCTAATTGATTCGTTCTGTCTGGCTATCGGTTTGCGGATGGAAAGCGGTGGACATCTTGTGGTCGGATCCTAGCTGCGAGATCAGGGATCTCCAAAACTTGGAAGTGAACAGCTTGTCTCTGTCGGATACGATTTCCTTCGGCATTCCGTGTTGGCTTACGATCACCTGCAGAAACTTGTAGGCGAGGTCTTCTGCAGTGCTAGACTCTATGTACGGGATGAAGTACGAATACTTCATGAGTCTGTCGACGATGACGAGGACACTGTCGTAGTGGACGTTGGTCATCGGTTCTCGGGACTTAGGTAACTTAGTGACGAAGTCTAGCGAGATGGATTCCCATGCGGTTTGCGGCACTGGGAGCGGCTGTATCTTTCCATAAGGCTGATGTCGGCTGGGTTTGCTTTTTGCGCAAACCTCACAGTCCTTAATCGCTAAAGATACTTCTTGTCGTGTAGCTGTTTTGTCGTAGTGTTGGCGGATGCGTTTCCATGTCTTAGTTACGCCTTGGTGACCGTGTGCGGGTGCGGAGTGTATCTCCCTAATGGCTTCAGGAGACATCCTTCCAGGCGTGCTGGTACTGTCTCTTCTGGCCATCATTAAGAGTCTGGCTGCTGGCACAAGGTCTCCGTTTTTGTCTGCTTTGAGGATAACTCGGGTTTCCTCAGGTACCTGGACCTCATGGTCCGGTCTTCGGCTGAGGGCGTCGGCCCTGCCGTTCTCTTTGCCTTTCCGGTAGATGATTCTGAAATTGAATTCTGATAAGAATTCGGACCATCGAATTTGTCGTTTGTTGAGATCTTTCGATATGGTGAAGTGTGCGAGGTTCTTGTGGTCGGTGTATACTTTGACCTCGTACTTGGTTCCTGAGAGTTGCGGTCTCCATTCTTTGAATGCTTCGATAATTGCCATGAGTTCCTTGTCGTGTATCTGGTAATTGAGTTCTGGGCCGTGTAGTTTGCGTGAGAAGAAGGCATAAGGTCGTAGCTGTCCTTCTTCGTCTCGTTGACCTAGTTGTCCTCCTATGGCATAGTCTGAGGAGTCGGTCTCGACTTCGAATGGTTTCTCGGGGTTTGGTATGACGAGTATTGGTTCCGATGTGACTTGTTGTTTGATCTCGTCGAAGGCTTTTTTCTGTTCTTCTTCCCATTGCCAGGGGATGTCTTTCCTCGAAAGTCTCGTGAGGGGGTCGTTTCTGTCTGAGTATCCTTCCAGAAATCGTCGGTAGTAGTTCACAAATCCAATGAAGGATTGTACGTCCTTAACGTTCTGTGGTGTAGGCCAGTCTCGTACTGCTGCGATTTTGTCTTTGGACATTTTGAGGATTCCTGGGGCTATCGTAAAACCTAGGAATTCGACTTCTTTGGCGTGAAACTTGCTCTTCTCGGGTTCTACTAGGAGTTTGGCGTCTTGTAGTTTCCGTAGCACTTGATGTACGTGCTTTTTGTGGTCTTCCAGAGTCTTGGAGAAGATTAGGATGTCGTCGAGATAAACTACGACGAACATATCGAGGTATTCTCGTAAGACGTGGTTGATCATCGTCTGGAATGTCGCGGGTGCGTTGGTAAGTCCGAAGGGCATCACAAGGTACTCGTAATGTCCTCGGCGTGTTCGAAACGCTGTCTTCCATTCTTCACCTGATTTCATCCGGATCAGGTTATAGGCTCCTTTTAGGTCGAGTGCTGTAAACCACTGGGCTCCGTGCAGTAGATCTCGTAATTCGGAGATGAGCGGTAGTAGGTAGCAGTTCTTGATCGTAATGTCGTTAAGTTTCCGGTAGTCGACGCAGAGTCGTAGTTTGCCGTTCTTTTTTAGTACGAACAGGATTAGGTATCCTGCTAGTGATGTAGAGGGTCTGATGTATCCCTTCTATAGATTTTCTTCGAGGTAAGCGTCGAGTGCTTCTATTTCTTTCTGGTTGAGTCCGTAGATTGCTTCTAGCTTTGGCTCCTTCCCTTCCTTAAGGGGTATCTCGTGGTCGTAGTTGCTGTGTTCCGGGAGTCCGGTCTCGAGTTCTTCGGCGAATAGCTTCTGGTATTGCCGGTATTCTTCTAGGATAGACAGAAGTCGGTCTTCCTTGCCGATGTCTGTTGCTGATAACGTCCTGGCGTTTGCATCCTTGATCCGTAGGTATGCTAGAAATCTCTTCGCTTCAGGAGTCTTGAGAGGTTCGTTTGAGGCACCGTTCCATGGTTGCTTCTCAGTGACTGAATCCTAGTCCCAATAGAGTTGGCCTGTTCTCCAATCTATCCGTGGGTTACTGTCGTATAACCATGGTCTTCCAAGGATGACATCGTACTTGTCTCCTATCTCCGTAAAATCGAAGTTGAGTCGCTCATTCCGGCCATGGATCTGCAAAGGGAGTTGCGCTGTCTCTATAGCAATGCGTCCTCCGCCGTACTGGACTTGTTCTCCTTCAACGGTGCTAAGTTCGTAGCAGTCTTCGGCTGCTTTTCTTTTCCAGGTTATCTTTCTTTCATTCACCGTTCTTAGTGATATGAAGTTTCCTTAGGCTCCGCTGTCGATCATGGCGGTAGCTGTTCTTCCGTTGAGCTGTATTTAGACTTGTACATGCTCGTGTCGTTATGTCGTGGGCGTCGTTGCGCTACATAGGGACCTTGTCTGGACTGCCTGTCGTTGTCCCTTGTCTTCGGTAGGCGAGTCTAGTTTTTTGACTGCTCGTCCGTTCCTTGTTCGTCGTTTTCTTGCTGTTTCTTCCATGCTTCGTCTTTCTTGATATAGTGGACTCGGCGCTAGTCTTGGTAGCAGTGATACCACTGTATTTCTTCGTCAGAGTCCTCTCCAGAGCTGGTGTCGTCGACTGAAGCGACTTCAAAGGCGACTTCCAGTTGGGCATGTTGGCAGGCAACATCGCGAGGTGTTTCCGAGTCGTTGGGGGTGTTCTTGGTCGTTTCTGATTCGACCTGTTCTTCTAGTTCTTGGTTGATCTGGCGGATTCGTGCGGGATCTCCTTGTGCATGTTGTCGTCGTTCGATGTGTGCGTCCAGCGCACCGAGTTGTCGTTGCTACATAGGGTTTTGTGAGTCCTGTTGAATCCGCTACAGGTGGGCTTGTCGTCCTGCATGGAGGAGGCTCAGCCTTCGCTGATTGTCTTGTTCTAATTCCTCGTTGTCGTTTATACTGTCGAGCCGTTCGATTATCTTACGCTCGATTTTGCTATTGCTTCTATATCCCGCAGCGAGGGTCCGTTTAGGTACGTTAGTAGTGTCGTAACCAGATCGTTCTTAAGGTTTCTAGGGGTACCATCCTGCGTGTTCCTTACTGCTAGAGTGGATATAGCAGTTGTCATCGAAGCAGGTAGTCCAATTAAGTTGTTCATGAGGGATCGTCTTCGTAGCGATACTCGCTTATCGTTTCTCTAGTACCGGTTGGAAGCGTTCCTTCTTAGGTAACCTGCATTCGTATGCTAGGTATCTAATCTTCTAGCAGTTATAGCACTGTCTATCTTTCTTCCAACTATCGTTCTTTTTGTCGTTTCTCTGTATAGTACTAAGGTCTATTAGTCTACTATAGTAACTATAGGCAGTACTTTGTCGGGGGTTGTTCTAGTTGTTACGGGGTCTATTGTCGTTTCGCTGGTTGTTAAACTAGTGCTAAGGCTGCTACTAGTACTTACGTCCTGAGTTAGGGTTTTGTCGTTTTTCGCCTCTTTCCTTTCGTCGTTCGAAAAGCCGGTTGTCGATTTTGATAGCGAGTTCGGCGTACTAGAGAAAGTCGTCAGGTCGATTAATCTTAATAATCTCGTCCTTGACTTCGTCCTTTAGTCCTTGATAGAATATAAAGATCTTGGTTTCCTCGGTAAGGTCGAGTTGAACGCTAAGTTGTCGGAAATTGGCGGAGTAGTCTTTGGCGGACTTAGTCTGCTTAAGTTATGCTAGATCTCGTTCGGCTTGTCGCTTTTCGTCGGGGTCTTGGAAGAGTGACCTGAGCGTATCCTCGAATCCTTTAAAATTGGCGTAGATGTCGCGGGTCTCGGTAGTACACTCGTCGAGGGTCTTGCATTTAAGGTATTCTTCCTGGATTAGTTTAAACCACTTGAGGGCCTTTCCTCGGAGGTAGGTAGCTGCGTGTACTACTTTTTCGGTTTCGTTAGTAAAATCTCCGTAGTGAAAGTTCTAGTAATTTTTGACCTGAATTAGGAATCCTTTGAAGGGTCCCGGGGGTTCCGTCGTAGGTGACAGGCGCACTGAGCTTGAGCTTTTGTCGTCCTCCGTAGACGGGCGTGGTGACGATGTTAGCGGCGGCCCGGAGGGTGGTGATTTCCCCCTGGAGTTCCTAGATCTTCCGGAGGTTGGCGTCCCCCTTGATGTCTTCTTCCAGCTTCTTGTAGGCCTGTCTAGCGTGCTGGAGTTGCTTATTAAGGTTTTCTATTGCTTGTCGGTTTTCGTTGACGATTTTCTGCATGTCTTTTGTCTCGGCTTCTTGTTTCTGGATTATGCGTCGGAGCTTATCGTAGCTTTCCTTGGTAAAAGAGCTATCTCCATCGGAGTCGTACTTAAGGTCCGGCATGTCGAAGTCCTCAGTATTAGCAGGCTCCTGTGCGAGGCTCTGAGGCTGGTTGCGCGAAGAGGATGAGGATCCTGGAGTGGGTGATTTGGCAGAAGCGCGAGAAGACATCTTGTCTATACTGTTTAGTAGTTCTCAAAAGGTGACTTACTGAACAGGAGCAATCAAAGTGTTACGGCTAGCTAACTAACAGTAGGTTTGTGTTAATAGTAAGCCAGGGATTGACAACAGTAACAGTCGTTCTAGGGTCTGGTCGATTAAATCGTAGATCTTTAAAGGTCTTGGTGATCAGTCAAGGCCTCAACAAGAGTCGTAGAGTAGTCGTCACTTAGGTATAGCTGAAAGTACCGGTTAGGGTAATCACAAAGTTGATTGCTGAAGAGCTATGGAAGTCTGTCCTCGAGCCCGGCTCGAGTCCATCCTATATACAAGTCCTGAACGGTCCTCCTTATCTTGGCTATGTTGGATATTTGACATATCCAACATATCCATATCCAACATATCCGGGGATCGGTTGGATATTTGACATATCCAACATATCCGGGGATCGGTTGGATATCTGACATATCCAACATATCCAGCCCGGGTTGTCCTTACCCCGCGTTATCCCCGAGGCCACGTGACTTGTCCATAGTTCTTCCGTTCCGAGGATCCCTGGTTACACCTGTCCGGCTGGGTTACATATGCCCTGCGTTAGCCGCCGGGATCCAGGCGGGGTCGTGTTGGCGACCATGTCCAACGGGTCGTAACATATCTCTGTTATAAACACAAGATATATCTCCTTTTCCTACCGCCACATACATCCCACGTTCTCCAACCTCTAGACCAAGCAGTCTTTGGGCCTCTCAAGGCGACCTATCGAAAAGAGCTTGGATACCTCATTCAACACAACGATTCTACAGTTGTAGGCAAACGGAACTTTCTTACCTGCTATGGAAAAGCACGCCAGATGGCATTTTCAAGCAAGAATATCAGAAGCGGCTGGAAAGCAACAGGACTATGGCCCATTTCGATAGCTCGACCGCTCATGAGCCCTCTACTGCTTGAGAATGCTTCCAAGCCCTCAAAGCCAGGCTATTCTACGCCTATGAGGGCCTCTGATGGTGGAAAAGACGAAAACTGGGCATCTGCTACATCCATAGTAGCCTGGTCAACGCCCAAGAAGACAGTTGATCTATATGATCAACTTAGCTTATTCAGCAAGTTGGATAAAGATCAGCAAACGCAGCGACTGTTGTTTCGGAAGGTTCAAAAGGGATTTGATGAAAAGGACTATCAATTGGCTACAGCAGAGAAGAAGATTGCAATGTTGGAAGCAGAAGTTGAGGCTGGAATGGTACGGAAGCGGCGTAAGGTCCAAATGAGCCCAAATTCGAAGTTTGCCAACATTGAGGCAATTCACAAAGCCCAAATTGAGGCTGGCGAAATTGAGGATAGCTCAGATGAATCTAGCGAGCCTGAATTACCTATTAAAACTGGCGATAGTATCACAGTTGCAGGAGACGAATCAGACTTATAGTTATGAAGTTGATGAATACCTCATGATGACCCAATTTATGGGTGTGCGAAATGTGGGGGTGTGCGAGAAGTGGGTGTGCGACGTTAGACAAGGTAGGCAAAGTACCACTCCAAGGGACTGCAGTTAGATGGCTCAGAGTACTCTTCTAAATGTAAAAAGTACATTGTCCCAGACATCGATTTAAAGTAGAATAACAATGATGCACATGCCAAAGATAGAAAATGCTTAGACTCGGGCCTCGGGACCGGAACTCGGGTCAGGGCTGGCCGGATCCCGTCGAGCGGTGTGCTCAAAAGACTGATCCTTCCCAAACGGGCCGGCCCATCTACAGCATTCCTCAAAAGGTCGGATGACGCAGACATGTCTTCTAGACTGTACCATCGACATTCGTCCAAACTAAAACGTCACTCTTCATATTCCCAACTTTAAAACTGACTGTCTCATTGACGCGTCCCTCGGCCAATCTTTACACCAGGCTGACACCCCATCCAGCCTAAGTGAAGCTCAGGATTTACCCGACCAGCCGTAGATCCCTTCAGCCATTACATACAACCAAACATGAGCCTTACCCCATGTTTTCATATCGTGGTCTATACCCAAATTGACTTGGCGTGGTGAACATCCCTCCGAGGTAGCCCTGCATCAAAGACAAAGTCCCGGAAACGTCCAGCTGAACACCGAGTAACCAAAAAAAGGCGAGTTTTTTTCTGCATGCGGTGTGAAATCTCTCCGGATTTATGTACAACCCAAATTAATCATAGGGAGAAGAAGCGGCTATGTGGTACATGGTGACGCCAACAGGCCCTTTTCCTCCCACATTGGTTTCCTGATAGCCGTGCTAATTTGTTTCCATTTTTGGAGAAACCGAACTGGATCGTCACACCCTTTCACAGAATCAGGCTCGGCCCTTGAGCAACCTATCATGCCGAGAGGCTAGTGATACACTATATTGCTGCCTCCTTTGGCCGTGGGTCTAGACTGCAACATGGGATATATGAAGCCCATCAGAGCGCATCCTTGGGTTCGTCAAGACAAAGCAGACAACAACCACCCCCAACCACTACTCTCTCTGGAGTCTTACAAACAAACCCAAACCCAGTTTCACGATGCGCGTCTCTCTCGCGGTTCTCGCTCTCCTCGGCCAATCTCTCCTTGGTGCCGCACAAATAGGCGAGGAAGGCCAGGGTCTTGAAAAGCGTGTTATTCGGGTCTCGACGGTCTCAGGCTCCGATATCGTCTATACCCCAATCACCTTTTACGTGCCGACCTACAGACTCACCCACACCGCCCACCCGCCGAAGCCCACGAGACCCCCTCGGTCAAAGAGGCCGACCAGGAGGCTCAGCATTGGCAGACCAACCAAGACCAGGAAGCCTCCTGCTCTGCCGAGCAAGACGAGAACATACAGCGACTGCGGCGGATTTCGCCCTACGCCCCCGACTTGTGCTGAGGGGTACACTTGCGTCGACGACCCGTGGCGCGGCGGCTGCGGCATGGCGTGCGATTGGCCCGGTATCTGTATGATTGAATGCGGCGGATTCCTTGGGAAGGCATGCCCTAAGGGTATGGAGTGCTTGGATAGGCCTGGGGATGGTTGTGACCCGCAGAATGGCGGAGCAGACTGCATGGGACTATGCTTCTGAGGTGCCATGTTGAAGCGAAGAGTGTGGGATGGTTAGCGCGAGCGGGAAGTTGGTTACAGGATGTGGGTGAATGAAAATGTGAATGGGAAGTCTACGGATTGGGCAAGAATGCAGTTTATACCTGGCAATTTTCTGTCTTTCTTTTTTGATGACTTGATGAAAGCTTACATGGGTGGTGTTGAAGGAACAAGATGCGTTGGCCGAGGACAAGTTCGGTGAGTCTAGGTGGACTTCGGTGTGGTCGGTGAGATCGGGGGCAGGAGCAAAGGCTATCTGTGCTTGCCTCCAGATATAGCTTTTCTCGAGGGTGCCTTCTTCAGGCGAGACTTTCTCTAAAGGTTTTTCTTTTAGCAGAGCAGGAAAGAAGCATCTAGGCTCGACGGGAATTCCAACCTGAATTAACTGAAATTTCATAACCAACCTCCAAAGCGATATCGTCACGCAGCTTGATCGTTTTGAAACCATCACAAGATCTTTCATAATTTATAATAACTGTCAAAATGTGTACAGAGATCATAACCCACAGCCAGCTTTGTGGTCATAACGTCAGTAATGTCCGTGTCTGCGATGACGCCACCTACATCTTCGGACACGGGCTGCAGCCCTGCGAGAACACCAAGAAGACAACTCAGAATACATCCAGCTACTGCACCTTCGATTGCCCATATAGGGTCTACAAAAAGACATGGGAGTGCTGCCAGTGTCAAGGGCCCAACCAACGCCGTCAATGCTGCGCTTTCAAGGGTTGTAACCACCTGATCTGCCGCGAGTGCAAGCCGCGTAAGTATTCAGACTTTGACCCGCGAGAAGAGTCTCCGCTGACGAGGTCCCTACGCAGTTACTCCTCCTGAGAGGAGGCAACGGACAAAAGAATCTACTCAGCCATGTCAATTACCGATCAAGGACGACATCAGCAGCGTCAAGGCTCATGACGCGCGTCAGAGTTGTGAAACCCGAAACAGTTCGCCATTCTCAAGAATCCCCATTTACGACGCTTCTATTGGAGACTGGGTTTGAAGTGAGCAACACGACTGGCGAGAACGGCATGGCATAAGGTCAACGAGGCAATCCGCAAATTTGCAACAAACCAGCATCGCGACGCTACCCATTAGAAAGAGCTAGGGATTCGGTCGGGCTTAGAAAAGTCATCATCGTTCTATGCATGTATGTAGTGTAACGGTCTATGGATGCTAGCTCTAATATGAAACGGAGGGAAAAAAAAAATGGACTTTACTTGCCGCCCGAGAAAGACACCACCGCCCACTTCCCGCTCCAAGCCCACTTTCTTGCTCCAGAATCGCCGCCTCCGTCAGGAAGGGCCTTCAATCTCTCGTCCTCGCCGGGCTGCAGACCGACAACAACGTCTGCCTTGCAGGTACGTAGGGCGAGGATGTTGAGGCCAGAACCGGGGCCGATGTTCTTGAGCGCCTCTGTAAAGGGTGTTGAGGCTTCCCAGTCGGCCTACATATTGGTTAGCAGTGATGTGATTTACATGACGTAGACCAACTTACATCTCCAGTCAACTTGCGGTAGTTAAGGTCGCCCTTGAAGATGACCACCTCACTGGTCTTGAGGTCCTCGTACAGGTCCTTGGCCTCCTCTGGCAGCTGCCAGAAGGGACCGGGGTGTGTCCAGTACCGGTTCGGTCTCAGGATCAACTGCCCCTCAGCGTGGAAACTGCTCCACTCCTGGAACAAGAACCCAAGGTTGGCCTCGTCTGTGCTTGACAAGGGTTCGGGGGTCTTGTTTTGCAGCTTCTCATCTTCAGATGGCGTCTCGTAGAAGGGCTTGGGGGCCGCAATCGCACTGAGCAGCTTGGCAAAGTCGCCAGGCAGGACGTCGGAGACGAACCAAGGGATCGACTTGGGGTGCAGCACAACGTGCGTCGCCAAGCCGGCGGACAAGAGGTATCCGGCCAGGATAAGATCGACGTACAGCTCAAAGCCGGCGTTGTCGAGGACAATGTCAACGCGACGTTCCGCCTTACCCTCTGCCTTGGCCTTCTTGAGTAGCTCGTAGACGGCGGGGAGATCATTGGCAATGATGTTCTTCTCCGACGCCTTGCGAGCCTCAGAGCCCTGCAGCTTCTGGATATCTTCGTATGTCAGGCTCGTCAGCAACGAGAGGTCCGTCGCATTGCCCCAGAGGCAGATCTCGCACATCTCGGTGAAGAGAAGCTTCTCGGCGGCCTCATCCTTGGCAGCGTCCTTGTTTTTCCGAAGCTGCTCGACGAGATCTTTGTACTTGGATGCGAGCTCGAGAACGGCAGGGCGCGAGGAGCGGAAAGTGCTGATCTTCTGACGGGCAAAGACGTCGTAGTTCTTCCAGTGGGTGGACTTGGCAAAGTATGTGCTTATGCGCCTGTGATTAAACTCTTAGCGCTGTTCTCGAAGGTGTTAGGTGAAAGGCTGGATTGTCGAATCTCACCTGAACAGATAGCACTCGCTGTAGAGCCATTGAACGTTAAGCCATGTCGGCTCGCCAAGCTTCTTAAGCTCCTCATTATAGATGCTCACGTCGGGGTATCCATCGTCTTCGATCGGGCTAGCAAGGTCAGCTGGAGTGTATTTGTAGACATGTCGATATGGGACTGTACGTTAAGGCGCGATCATGCTGGACCTCATACTTGAGGCGAGCTATTTGCTCAACGATCTTCTTGCCCTCGTCCTTCTTCTCGGCATCTTCAGTCGCCGCGACGGATCGGTAGAGGTCGTCGATGGCCTGGGTCTTTTTTTTGGAAGCCGTCAGCAACTGTGTAGCATCTCAGGAAAGGGGATCACGAACAATAATTACAGGCCAGCGCTCGCGGGCTGTGACCCAGCCAAAGGACGTCTTGTCACCGGTCGAGTAAGGAGCTGCGGTCGCCAGTTAGCTTGGTCTCGGGTGTGTTTACCGACGGGAGGAAATACTAGGCATCTTGAAGCTGGAAGTTTATGCAGAGGGAAGCAGTGAATTGGAGGAAAGCACAAAGAGAAAAGAACAATTTGTAGCTTCGTGTCTCAGACTAGAGAATCACCGCTCTCTGCGACAAGCTCAATCGAAGTATGGTGGGGCAGAACCGCGGGGCACGTTCAACATTCTGGTACGCGCATAATCAGAAACGTGACGTAAGACCTCGTCTATCCGGTAGATATGTGACTATCAAGAGTAATGGCTTATTGGAGTACAACCGGTAGTCGCGAACATTAGTTGTCCAATCACCACCGACCAGTGCCTTTTCGTCAGGATCAATGTTCCTCCGGTCTCACACTGTTACAATCACGTGGCCGAATACTGGTCGGTCATTACTGCCGAATCCATATCCTCTATGGAAGAGTTTAAAAACATCAACAACAGCGAGAACGAAATTTTTGAAAATCGGAGCAAAAACGGCCCCAAATACGCGTGCTCGCGGCCACAGAGCCCCCTTCGATGCAATGCCATCCTCGGCCTTGATTCTACGTCCCAAAGGGGCCCAAGATGGCCGCAGAGCACGCCCCGACTACAATGAAAAACTTGAGAGCAAGCCGCAAAATACGACATATCAATAGACAACACTGTTACCACCACCACAGGCGAGCCACAAGCCGCTACACGAAGCACTAAGACTGCGCCCAAACAATCAACTTCAACACAACAGCCGCCGACAGGTTTTGGGTCACCTGTCACCCCCGACAAAGTTTGCAACGTCCCACAACGACGAAGATGAGTCCGACAGAACAGTATCACCTTCCGCACGGAGAAAGCACCAGGCATTAGGCGTGTCCCTTCAACGCGCGACAATGTCTGCGGAATCTGTGCGGGAGCTCTCATACCTAGTAATCGAACATGTCGGAGTCAGTGGAGCATTGTGCTTCGTGGAAGACCCTTGGGCCAATGTGGTGGAGGGCAATAGTGGTCAACAGGCAAGAAACAAGAGGCCACATAGGAACCCGGCAGGAGGCAACAAAGAATTTACAGATGCAACTGAGAAAACGGCACATACAAGTCCGGGAGGATACGGACAAAACAAAGAGACAAAGCTGAGCGCTGGGGGGAGACTGTAGGTACAAAGAACCAGATACGGTGCTACCAGCACCAACTGAACCGAAGCAGGAGGACGCAAAACAAGCATTCTAGAGAGCAACACAAAAGCGAGAAAGCAGACAGGAGAGCAACACACTTCTTCAACAGAGGGCACAAACACACAGAATAGAGAACATAGTGGGGAGCTTGGGGATAGCTGGCCCTGATGCAACATCAGGGCGAAGTGGGGCGTCGCTGTTCATTGTCGACGCTTCGGCTACCTGCCAAACCCCGCTTTCCGGGCATAGCTGCTGGCATAAGAGCGGCTTCATAACCGAGTAGGAATAAATCAATCAATCAATCAATCTATGGAAGAGTTGGTTCATCTGAGAGGTATCGATCGTATTCGGGTTCCCATACTGCATACGGTGTCTGGCCAGAAAAGAATTCCGTCAGTATCAAGTCATCAAGTATTCGAAGGGCCAAATATAGGCAAGAATATCGAGCATTGACTAAATACGTCAATTTATTCGAGTCTTAGAGAGCCTCGCCCTGTAACACACCAGCTGAGCAGTTCTGAACTCTTGAACTCTGTTCAATAAACAGAGTTCATGTGTTGTTACAAGCCATGAGCCCAAGTCCTTAAACTTAGAAAATCTTTGGGGTTTCAGAGTGAAGTCGCTGATTATATTCCACAACCAATAGTGCGATCAAGTTTAATGCCGACGACGGCTTAAAGATATCACTTCTCTTGAATACACCTCCAGAGGTAGCAGTCTTCCTTCGCCAAAGCTATCGTAGGCGCATGATGATATGCCCAACCTCACAAGCTAGGCACTCCCGTCATCTTCATTCACACACAAAAGAACTAGTAAACATCGAATGCCGATCTGTAAGATCCCCTGCAGCAAATGATTCAGTCATGCAGCGTGCGGTTGCTTCCGCTGGAAACCCGCTGTCATCGCATGCCTTGATGGAACCCCACGTTTTACCCCGGTCTATCTGGGGAACTCCCAAGCTTGAAAGCAGTGTTGCAGAGAGACATGCCCAAAACGTGGGCGGGTGATCTGCTACTGCACGCATATACTACATGCGGCTGGCTTGCCAAGCGTTAGAAGAGACACCTTTGCCTGCGGGCCTGTCTGCAATTGCACATTTGTGACCTTGGGGGCGCCGAGATCCGGATAACTACCGATTGGTCATTACCCTTCAGGTTACTGCCAAAAGTTCCGATCATGGCCCGGCGACGTGGTTCAGCTGATTGCTGCATATAGGTCACACTTTATTTGTAGATCCAGATCTCGTGGCGGTCCACTTCAGCACCTCAGAGAGTTCCTAGTACTTGTGTGACTTGCAATTCAGCGCTGCCGAGTTCAGCCTTAAAGATACTCTGTTCTTCCTCAAGATCGGCGCTTGATCCACGGATCTGCCCTTAGAGCAAGATTGACCGTCTTGATGATGCCTTGACGTTGACGAGCTCTTGGACCGTTGAACTGTTGCTCATCGGTCCTTTACCCAGCGATACTGTTGAAGACTGCTAGGCTTTCGTCGGTAGATCTAGGTGTGAGATGTTATCACGGCCAGTTTCACGAACCTCACCAATACTTCCTGAACGGAAGAATATCTTTGAAACTGGCCGGATGATACGTGATCAACCTACCGACATGCCAACAGTCGATGCCTGATTCTTGGATGTTCAATATCTAGCCGGGCGCAACCCCAAACCTGAGCGAGCTTGTGCACTTATATAAGAACAAAGAGTCCTCAGATGCGAAAGACATCTCAAGTCTGGGCGGCTTATACTTATTAGCACCATTTGTCGCCTCCTATGCTCCTCTTCCTCCTGATGATGCAGCTGATACTAGCCAGTATCCGCGGCTGTGGCACTCAAAAAACCGCATTCGACGTGAAAGTTTCGAGACATCAAGCTTTAATCGCGACAGCAGGATACAACTCCTCGGCACAAGACCGACAGTAACCTCGTAGCCGATCCGAAGGCCGATTGGCATGAATCATGCCCCTGCATGATCTTTTCACCTTACCATAGTAGGCTCATCATCCAATTCATACGTTACCTGCGTACGTGGGTTGCAGGATATTGAACGCTGACATCGTGGGGCGTTGATTTTGTGGCTTTCCGACTTTGTCCGCAAGTGGGCGGTGACTCCGCGAGCCCCCGTCATGACAGGTGGAGGATCGGGGTGTGAAAAAGAGATGGTAGGCTAAAAACACCAGGCGATGAGTAATAAGATGAGTTTCACGAAAAATGGATGCCGTCATGAGGGCAACAATGTTTGTCAAAAACAAGCCATGAAACGTTGGATTGATGATACTAGCGGCGAAATTAGCCGACGGCTTGAAAATGAACGGAGAGAACCCCGCCCGTGATGACGGGTGAGAAAGGCTTAATGCACCGCACCTCTCGTAATAGATGGGCTCGACTTTTCGGCCGGGTCCTGCCGGACGCGGACTTGCACCCAACAACCGCCCAGCTTCGGATATTTTGATGCAAAGTTTTTTTCAACTTACAGGGACCGGCGAAAGACTTCTCCTGAAAAGCAAGGTCGAGCGTATGGACTTTGTGGGACTCTTAGTCAACGACCGGCAGCTGTCAGGGATTCCATGACTGTTATTTTTCCAAGAGTTCGGAACCAGTAGCCATAATGGCGAGTCTGGAAGCATTGAGCGGTGGACGGGTTGGGTAATAGCGTGGTTCTCGACTCATTGCCAAGTTTGAGGCTCAAATTGAGTTTCTTCCAAACCATCAATGGACATCCTGGACTATTGGGAAATTTCTTTTCTTCATTGGCAATATCACAACAACGTGGCGGCCATGTTGAAGGTGTGCAAGATCAACAATTAGAATAGACATACATACTATTGTCGATCTCTTCGTTGCGTAACGGGCCGATTGCCCGCATTTTGGGTGTGACATATGTGGATTTCCCCCTCATAACTATTCTCAGTTCAATCTGGACCGGCGGGATCCCCAGAAGCCAAAAAAAAAAAACAAAGCATCACTCCCCCCCCCCCCCCATGGTCAGATCCCCATGGGCACACATTAAGGGTCGATTAGTCACGTAACAGTTCGTCTCCCATTCCATTCTTCTTGGTGGGGGTGGTTACAATTTCTTCTTCGGCGATCCACAGTTCGGCCAACTTCCGCTTTCGTCCTTAGCTCCGGGCCTTTTTTCCGCACACATTTCACACACTAGTTGCTCAAGCATGCCAAGGGGGCGGACACGCTTCTTGAAATTTTCTCTGCAATTCGGTGCGGGGGTGGACCATCGAACCTTCTGATGTGCCTGGTTCGTTTGAGGGCATCCAATGCCGCTTTTGCGGGTGGGCGGGGCACGGAAACGTCTACCACGGGGGTTTACGGAGTAGCGCTATTCCACCCACACACACACCGCACTCTTCCCCGTACTTGAGACCTGCCGAAGGATTTGAGGGGGAGAGGGGTTGGGGTTAGAGACGCTGGTCGTTAGCCAGTGACCAGTTTGTGTGTGTGGGAAGAGTCTAGGTACCTTATGGCCGGGGGTTTATTCTCTGGGCGAATGCCAAAAACTACTATACTTGGGGGATCAGCATCCTCGTGGGCAAAGTTCGTTGCGAGCTCATTAACTCCGATGTCCGAATCTGGACAAAATAAGCACCAAGCATATGCATATCAGATTGCTTCAAAACTGGTCTAATCACGTCCAGAATGAGAACTCACCTCGGGGCCAAGAGACAATGATATCCTCAAGCTTGCCCAGGAGAGTCTGGAGCATGCAAGATGACGGCAGGCTGGCCAGACCAGGCCTGGTAAGTCTCAAAAGCCAGCAGGACCATGCCACAAAATCTTGAAGAGTATCCATACTATTGTACGAATAGCCTACGAACCAAGCGCATGGGACCCATCCCGTTCGAGTTTGCAGAGCCGTCAAAAAAACCAGAGTCGCATCAAAACCTGACACATGCAATCCCAAATAGGTAAAATCGGCCCCATCGCGAGAGGCCGTCTCCCTGGCCAACCTGCCCAGGTAGGAAGCCCTTAGCGTCACGGGCCGCAACAATAAGTACCGATGGCATGGGATGCCATCGGATGGGATTATCTCTGTGTCTCGCTCGGCTCGTCTCTAGCGATTTGCTTGATTCATCATCATAAGCAGACGAGGGCTTCCGACTTTCACTACTCTCGATTGCTGACGCAGATCCCGGCGCATCGCCCCCCCCGTTGCCACCATGGCTGTCGAAATGTCTGCCGCTGAGGCACGTGCCAAGCTGGCTTACCAGAACAGATGGAAGACCATCGCCTCCAACCCCAAGATTGTTGTTATTGCTCTGTTTGCTTCGTATGTGAAAGACTCACCCGAGCCAACGCCGTCTGATCTTCTTTGATCATGACAGTGTGTGTTGGTATTCGTTGTGTATATACCCTGGCTGACTCGTGTGCCAAAACAGATTCGGTGGATTCGAGTATGGCTACCAACAGGGTGTTCTCGGCCAGTCCCTTGTCATGACGCGCTTCAAGGACAACTTCCCTTCCGTCGTCAACTCTTCCAGCGCCACGGGCTGGTTGACCTCCATCCTCCAGCTCGGAGGTATTCTGGGCTCCGTCACCGCCGGTGTCTTTGGCGAGGTTTTCTCCAGAAAGTACACCATGTTCTCCGCCTGTCTCTGGGTCGTGCTCGGCAGCTACCTTTACACCGGTGCAAGCTACCACAAGCCTGAGCTCCTCTATGCGGGTAGATTCTTCACTGGTGTCGGTGTCGGAACCTTCAGTGGTGTTGGGTACGTCGTAAACGTGACGCCTTGTTGTAGCCAAGGCCTTCCTTATTCGCTTATGCTAACCTTTTTGATAGTCCCCTTTACAACGCCGAGTTGGCAGCCCCCGAGATGCGTGGATTTATCGTTTCCTTCTACCAGTTCGCCACCATTCTGGGTATTATGCTCAGTTTCTGGATCGGTTATGGCAGCAACTACATCGGCGGCACTGGCATTGACCAGTCTGACCTCGCCTGGAGACTTCCCTCTTACATCCAGGGTGTCCCCGCCGCCCTCCTCGCTCTCGGCATCTGGTGGCTCCCCTTCTCTCCTCGCTGGCTCGTCAAGCAGGGCCGTGATGAGGAGGCCGTCAACACCATTGCCTACCTCCGCAAGCTCGACGTCAACAGCGACCTTGTCCAGATTGAGTTCAAGGAGATCAAGGCCGAGGCTCTCTTCGAGCAGCGTGCTTTCCAGAAAGCGTTCCCCCAGCTCGCCGAGAAGGAGAAGACCAGCGTGTGGATGCGCGAGGTCGCTCAATACTGGCAGATCCTGCGTTCTTGGTCCCACTTCAAGCGTGTGGCTACCGCATGGTTGGTGATGTTCTGGCAGCAATGGTAAGACTGTGAACCCCCACCTCAAGTGATTGTCGACTCTGACAACAACCATAGGTCCGGTATTGATGCCATCATCTACTACGCTTCCAACGTTTTCCAGAGCCTGGGTCTTACTGGCGGTACCACCGCCTTGCTTGCCACTGGTGTCACTGGTGTCGTCTTCTTCGTTTCCACCCTCCCCGCCATGGCCATTATCGACAAGGTCGGACGTAAGCCCATCTTGATTGTCAGCTCAATTGTCATGTTGATCTCCATGGTCATCCCCGCCATCATCGTCGCCAAGTTCAGCCACGACTGGCCCGGCCACCCGGTTGAGGGTTGGGTTGCGGTTGCTTTCATTTGGATCTACGTGAGTCTTCATCCACCGCATAATGTGTGTTCTTAGTAACTGACTCTTCTAGATTGCTGGTTTCGGAGCTGGTTGGGGTCCCGTCTCCTGGACGCTCGTCAGTGAGATCTTCCCCCTTTCTATTCGCGCCAAGGGTGCCTCCATCGGTGCCTCCAGCAACTGGCTCAACAACTTCGCCGTCGCTTTCTACGTCCCCTCCATGCTTGAGGCCTGGAAGTGGGGTACCTACCTCTTCTTCGCCGTCTTCTTGGGCTGTGGTATCCTCTGGGTTCACTTCTGCCTGCCCGAGACCAAGGGTGCTACGCTCGAGGAGATGGACCGCGTTTTCGGCAGCAACACTGGTGCCGAGGATGGCATCATGCTCGAGCAAGCGAGACGCGATGTCGGTCTCACAGAGGACTTGGAGGAGAGCGCCATCGCGGAGAAGAAGGGTCTGGATGATAGCCAGCACGAGACTGTCTAAATGAGACTGTCAAGAAAACGATACTAATGTGCTTCCTTATGAAGCTTGATACCCACTCTATCATGGCTTGTCATGATAAAAACTGAATAATGCTAAATGTAGGAAGCCCGATGTTGGCCTCTAGTCTGAAATGTAATCTACTATGGTTTCTTTAATGGAAAGCAATCCCGTCAATGCTCGCAGTGTTTACCCCAAGTGAAATATGAGAGCTATTGGGCCAGATTCTGCCAAGACGCTTTCTCTTGCTAACTTAAGATCGTCGGCACGGCCCGAAGTCAGACTCGGAGCGAGTCAACGCTACTAATTGAGTATATCGTTTACATGGTTCACCCTGATTTGAGAAGGGATTTTTTGCCAATTTTTAACCCGTCAGATGTAAGGTTTTCTGGGTTCAAAGTGATTTGTTACTTTTCCTCAAAAGACAACAGAGTTTGTCAACCCCGCTATCAAGATTCGTCAGTAACACCAGAACAGATTGACAACTCAAGCTGTAATGACCAGCACGAGAGAGGGACCAAAGCAACCTTTTACTCATGTCAAGTCCTATACATGGGTGGCTAAGTCATCATAGAGTGTAAAGAATGCAACGCGAGTCTGGTCAAGTATGTTGGATAGCTTTGGGCAAGAACCGGAACTGGATCCCTTTACCGCTTGATATGGAAACTGAGATTGTACCTACAGCCGCTAAGGTGTAGAAGCTTTACTATGCTTGTTGCTTAACATTATGTCACCCCATACTTACTCATATGCGAAGGGCTGTACCCAAGTTTTATTCAACGTATGAGTGCTTCTACGATGAGAATCTAAACTTGAGGAGGGAGAGTAGGATTTGCGGTATTTTCGCGGAACGCTACCTGGTGCGAAGTTAGTTCTGTTGCTGCAATATCCAGGGTCAAGGGGCCATCTAGAGCTGGAGGAAGGAACTATGCACTTCTCTAACGCTCTGCGAGACCAAGCATATCCAATCATATGTGCGTACCAAGGATGTATCTGGTGGTAGGAAGTCAAGCAGAACTGTAATTCATTCGACGTCAGCGCAAACACTTTTAGAGTTGATCGCGCTTCATGCGAGGAATCAAACATTGTGTAAAAGTTTCTTCTCTACCGAATCATGCTTATGTGTATTATTAAGCATTCACATACAAATAACGTCATGTTGGAGATTGTACTGGCAGAGGGGTTCAGTCTCTTTTTGACCCCACCATTATAGTTCACAGTATGGTCAATAGAGATGTGACAATCTGTAAGCATTGAGGCTCCCCATCTCAGTGTCATTTGTTTTATTAACCCAAGGCGAAGCTCCTTTGACTTAAGTAGTGGGAGCGGGAGTAGTACTACAACACGATAGTATCCTACCGAGTCAGGGTCGCAATCCAACGTACTGGGAATCTCCCAGCCCAATGTCCAATTCCATACGGTTTCTAAAGACGCCTTTAAACGAACCGTTGGAAAAAGAATGCTAACCATTATTGTTACCACGTAGCGCAAGATCAACGCCACCAACGGAAGACCAAAACGACTCTCAAATGATAACCCTAGTAGTGGGCCTCTCATGCATGGTATTTTACTATCACCTCTCGATTGGCACCAACGAGGAACGGCTGGGCCATGGCACAGCAAAACGTTACATGATGATTGGCGCTCCTTTAAAAACAAACTTTCCTCTCCATCATTGAACTTATGCACACCATCTCATGCTTATTCCTTACGACCTTCCTAATCGAGTGGTTAAAAAAAGGAAATGTGAAGGAAGAAGAAAGCTCGCTCCATAGTGTACGCGTTCATTCTTATCGTTTCTTCCTTGGCATTGTCTAGGCTGGACTGATAGCCACCAACTGGGAAATGCGAATACAGTATCTTTGCATCACACCGATCAGCCACTTCCCAAAACTGGCATGGGTACCATGGCAGGATATCAGTGGTTCAAAGTGTCGAAAGATAGTTCTGCTTATGATTCGTATGTTCTGTATATCAAATGGACACTCTCTGCAAAGAGCTCAGTCCTCGCATGACTTTCTTTTTCGTACACAGAGTAACCTTTTTCTCAAGTCAAGAGACAAAATTTCAGAATACCTATTCAGAGAAACTGCAAAGTCCTTTGGATGATACTATATATTGCATTGATTACCTGCGTATGCTGCTATGAAGCTATACGCATGCTGTATCACCAAAGATGATTGGTTTCAACCCTCCAACACCTGCGTCTTTGTAAGATTGTCTGAATTTGAACCAGCCTTGTTACGCGGTGCCAGCACAATCACGCGTAACCTCCCGATCACTTCTCCGCCAACCGAGTACCTACCCATTTTACTCCCAACAGACAAGGATGTGATGGCTTAGCGGCCAGAAAAGCTACATCTTGGAGTGGGGAATGCTGCACGTCGACGAACGCTAGCCCGTTAAAGTTGAACTTGTTGGTGCAGGGTGGGCACAACATGTGCTGTGCCGCCCCCTTTGGGCATGGTAACCATCACCAACTCGCCAAAAGAGTGCCCAGAAAGTGGGTTGCGCATCTGATTCCACAGAGACCGACTATTGGGTCTATTTGTTTTGAGAGAGCATCGTCGGAAGTCGGGACAGTTCCGCGGGTCTTTCCAAGCCCTGGGCCATGCCTCATCTTGCCACTCGTCCACCAACCAACCTCTTGTCTACCACGCCCAATTCATTCTGCCAGCATCCTTGACCCCCTCCACTACGGCAGTCCGCAGGGCGCACTGGGTCAAAATTCAAGGTAGTGATAGGAACACCCCATAAGCGTAAACATATGTAATCTCGCGTAAAACGATTTTTGTTTTTATACATTTCTAGGTAGGTATTTGCCCTTTTAGGAAATAAGGGTTTACTATATAGAACCATAGCCCCCTACGAGGCTCTATAATAATCCGTCGGAGGTTAGATCTTCCGGTTCCGGTTGATTAGGTACATAGTCTATGCGCGCAAATCGATAAATAAATAGGAATTTAGTAAGGCTTAGAACTTCTTCCTTTTCCCCACGCTAAGCAGAGTTTAGGTATATAACCCTTACTATATAGAAATTTATAACGCTTTCTATACTGTTTTATAAAGATTTAGTTTTTATCTTTTATTATACTTCTATTTTCTTTTATCTTCTCTATTTTTGATTTTTTTTTCCGATTTTTTAAGCTTTTATATATTTCTATATAATCATTTGCTAACTGTTAGCTTTTATATAGATTCGCATATCCCCGGGCGCTAGGCGTCGCCCCCGTCATATTACGTACAGTTTTCCAGCAAAGCTTCACAACATCCTACAACATCCTACAACATCCTATAACATCCTACAACATCCTATAACATCCTATAACATCCTTACAATCCCGAACGATACTCGATATCACTTTACACTACCGTACATCATAGCTTAGGACATAAAGCTAGCTGCCAAGCTCGTGCCAGATAAGATCGGAGACATAAAGATTCCTACTGTCATAGTTCTTCCTGCTAGCACGTAGCTATAACAGGCAGAGGTCGGAACCGTGATAAGAACAGAGATGTAAATAGAATGATGCAGAAGTTAAACAAACGGTTACAAGGCAATAAACAACGATGAATTGATAAACGTAGGTATAAGCAGTTAGTCTTCTATTAAGTTAGCCTACTAACGATAATACTGTCGAGGGCGTCTCTTATACAGGTATGGCTAGCACGTAAGATATCACGTGCCTTTGATAACTATTTATAAAACTATGACAAGTACCCTTCCCGAAAAAAGGCGATCGTCCCGATCGATAGTAAAATAAAAACTAATTATATAAATTTATCCCTTCTATTTCCTATCTATCGCGAAGAATTACGACCTTGACGATAAAATCCTATCCTAATCGCGGTCTAGCATATTGCTAAAGCAGCTCTGCTTAGCTAGGCCTGCGATGCTCTCAGTAGCGACGCGCTTATCGCCCTTCTATAGCTTAGCAACGGCTTTATATAGTTCTACGATCTTACCGCGGAAGACTATAATTTTATTATCCTTAGTAGCGATAACGTAGTTAACCTTTATAACGATTATATCCTTGCTAGCAGCTGTCGCTTCGAGTGCTTCGAGGCGATTGTTAACGCTTACGACGTCGACGGTAGACTAGGCTTTCTCGTTAAGTTTGTTAAGGCGAGGGATAATCTCCTTGTTAACGCTGTTAACGATTTTCTTTATATTCTTAGTAACCGTCTTATTTATTTTATAAATATTACCTTCGAAAGCTTAAAACGCTTTTTCTATATTCTTAAGTTGTTTATAAGCGGTTATATCGGTAGCGGTTATATAGCTAATATTTATAAGCAGGGGAACTAAGAAGAGGTCGGCTTAGTAAATAGTAATAAGGTAGCTTGTAATAGTATTATTAACCTAACCGTTGCTAGTATAAAAGATAGTTGTAAGAACCTAGGCGTAGGACGGTAAGTATTCCGTATATAAGGCGTTATTATTATACGCAGTATAAGCGTATTTATAAGCGTCCTAAACATAACGAATAAATAGGTTAGAAGAAGGGGTAGCTAGGCTAGTAAAGTTGTTAAGATAAGCCTTAATCTCCTTAAGTAATATATCGTCTAGGTAGAAAGCAAACGCATCCTAGGTATGCTTTTTAGCATCTTAGACCTAGGTATTATTAACCTTAGTAGCAGTATGCTTCTTCTTCTTAAGGGTATTAGACTTCTTGCTAGCCTTAGCCTTCTTAGCCTTAGGGGTAGGAGTAGCCTCGACGGCTAAGGCGTTAGACTTTTCCTCCTTACTAGATTTATTAACTAGCTTAGGGTTACTTTTCTTAGCCTTCTTCTTAGCCTTACCCTTGCTAGTCTTCTTAGGCTAGTCTTCCTCGACCGTCTTAGTAGGTTTAGCATAAGCTTCGTAAGCCTTATTAGCCTTGTTAGCGTCGAATATAGTAGTATCTTGCTAGTTATTAGTATGTTTAGTAGTAGCTATAGTAATTTCCTCGGTAGCGCTTTTGCTAACGACGTAAAGTTCCTCGTCGGCTAGGCTGAAGTTA